ATTTTAACTCAACCTTGTAACATTACAGCTTTAAATGTCAGAGAATCACTAGAAGTAATAAAATTTAAAACAGAAAAAGAAGTATTGAACAGAAATGAAGGACCATTGATATTTGGCGTGATGTAATTATAAAAGTTGACTAATGAATTATGTAAATATAAAAGGCAATTTAATATCACGTCGCAGGAAAAAAATGTACAAATTAGTATGTCTTGCAGATAACTCCTGAAGACGACGTCGAAACATTGTAAATATACACTGTATTTTTGAAGTTGGAAGCCGTTGAGACTTCAATTAAGTTTTTAAAACTGTGTGAATATAAAACGTTGGTTGTATTTATTTATTAAATGTTAATACTTTCTTGTTAATTTGGACTGAGTATATTTTACGCTTTTTTATCTCTTATTAGATTAATTTCTTTCTAATCAAACAAACATACTTAATATTTATCGAATATAATTCTATTTTTAATAACACATTTTTAACACCTTCAGACTTCTTACAAATTTTATCATCTTGTAATTTTAAATCATACATCTAAGATCTACAAATCCAGTCATTATTTTTACATTGTTTTCGCCTTTCATTTTACCATTTTTTGTTTACTAACGGAACACAATAAGAATTATCTTTTGGATAGTTTGAAGTATCAAATAAATTAATGTTTTCTTTTATATCCTTATAGAGGTCTTCTGTTTTTATCTCATAAATATAAAATTCGGTATCTTGGTATATTAATTTTAAGTCATCACCATACTTTGGTTTCATGAATCCATAGTATAAATTATACATCAATATCTTCGAAAGATCTGGAAGTTTTATACCAAGGTAAATTGCTTTATTGAATATTATTTTTGTTTTACTCGTATGAATAGCGGATAATGTTTCTGTAAATATTGCTCTTCCTATAAGTGTGGCTTTGCTAGTAATTTGTAAACTTTCTTTGCATCAGAATACAATTTTACATCAACTCGTTTTCTAATATTTTCCATAGTCTTTCCAAATACAGAATTATTTAACAATTTATAAAAAAATATTTTTTAAAACCATTAGTAGCTCTGGTTCTCAATTGTGTATTTAGGTCAATATATTTCTTAAGCCAATGAGATTGTTTAAATTCTAACATTCAATGAATTTTCTTCAGTTTTATTTCTGATAATAAACATTGTTTCAGATTTCTATAGCGAAGCACGTAATTTTTCTTACTATGTAAAGTTGTCATTAATTGTTTTTTCTTTAGTCGCTGTTCTGTTCTCTGGTACTATAGGTGTATCTGAATTATAATCATATAGTTCTTTTGGATACTTTAAATCTACCTCTAGAAACCTATTTCAAAATCATCAGGTAATTCCATTTCATCAATATTTTTATCACTCCATTTGATAAATATTGACTCATTGCCCATCCATGTAGGTTATTAGCAACTAGATAAGCTAAATAAGTATATTCTTTATTACGATCAAAATTTTCTTGTATTTATTATTTGCTTAGCCATATATGTTATAACCCCGAGATATACCTTAAGAGCATTAAGAGTACGTTTGTAGTCATCATCCGATATATCACATTCGTTCAGCATATTATAAAATGTTTATTTTGGTGGTAATTGAATTTCATTATATTTATTAAACGAGTAGTCCATATAATGATAAGGATACTCAATTTTTTATTACAAGATCGAGTTCATCTTTTGGAAAATATTGCATTATATTTTTGAACTGCTCTTTCCTAAGGATACTTGAAAGTTTATCTAAATTAATAACCATGAACTTAAATGAATCTATTAATTTTAATATCTGATTGCCGCTTTTTTACAGAATGAAATATATTTCTTTCGTTTTTTGAAATTAGATCAATTTCTTTATCATCCCAGCCTAATTCCTTGATAAACAGATGACTATCATATCCGCTCATATTATATATAAACAATGGTATGAATGATTTCTAAAAAGCAGATTACAACTTTTGTGTGCAGGTCCTCAGTATACTGCAGTTAAATTATTAAGGTTGTGAACTTTCTTTCAATCGTCTATCGGTTTATCATCCATTTTCTTATTATTGTTATTTAACTGTTTTATTTCTTCTTGTATTTTCATTAATTCGTTACGTACATTTGATCCTCGATAAACTATAGGATTTTTATGATGTCCGCGAACATACATAAAAAAAATAACAAAAACTCATAGGTTCATGTTTTTTTAAGCATTTGTATAATTCACAGAGGGATCTGGATTACGGGTATCGATCCTTCTTGTTAAGCATTCAAAATCAGCATACATAACAAAAGGAACTCCTAACGAACTTTTTATATTCTTAAATGGCACTTGCAAAAACCCAGCTTCTTACAGTCTTCTTCACGTTTATTTAATCTGAATTTTTGATTAAAAACACTTTAATAAACAGTGATAAATCTTTGAAAAGACCATAATGTGAAAAACGAAGTCTAATAGTGAATAGTAGAGCCACAGCAACACTTGTAAACATCTTTAACGAACTTTTCGGAATTACACGTATTCCATCTTCAGCAAATCTACGAAAATAGCAAATTGAATACCCTTTAGTATAATTACTAATATACAATGAATAGTTAGGAAATTATAAAATTTTCAATTTAAAAAAAAGGAGAAAGAGAGAAATATTTGAATAAAGCGAGTTTGGATTTCTATTGAGGCTTGGATATTTGTTGAGAATAAGTACTTTATTTTATCAACAGTTCGTGATCATTACATCCAGAAGTTAGAATTGAAAAGTCTAAGGAAATGGCCCACTCACTCATTTCTCATAAAAGTTTGTTAATAACATCTTTATAATAATTTTCCAAATTAGCCGACTTAAGAATTATTTCATTTTTAGTTTTGAATGAAAATTCTTCTGTTCCTTTATGCCTTCAATAAACATGGTATAATTTAATACTAACTTATAAATAATTTTTACATCTTAGCTCATCAACTTTAGGAAAACAATATTTTCTATATTAAACAAAGTTTTTCAGGTTTGACTTCTCTGAACTTCCGATGAAAACCTTCCTCGGTAAATTCATAGCGTTTCAGCAAGGCCAATTTTAACTTGTCATAGCACATGGCATCTTCTGACATCATGCTTGCGTACACTTGTAGGTCTTTTTCTGTGAGAAGTGGGCTGACACAGACTGCCTTTGTCCCAGTTCTGACTGTGGGCGAATCTTTCATATCTCTCAAGGAAAGCATCCATGTCATATTTTTGTTCATCAAATTTGGGCAACTTGGGTTGGCTGGCCCTGACTCCATTGTCATTATTGGGTCCTTCTTCTTTCTGTTGGGTGAGCTTGGTAATCTCAGTTTATGCTCTTATCCTCTCTATTTCCAGTCTCTCCTCTCTCTCTTTCTTCTTTCTCTTTCCAGTCTTTCCTTTATCTCGTTTTCTTCTTTTAGTCTTTCTTCCTCTGTTTCTCCTCTTCTCTTTTGTTGCCGCTGTTCTCTCTTTAGTTCCTGTTGTTGTGTAACATACTCTCGCAGTTCACTATCTTTTAACCCAATACGCTCACCTCTTTCAATCCAATTATCAAATTCTGTTGACATGGTTATATAGCGTGACTGTAATCTCTACACTATTTTGTCACCACTACAGTTTTGCGTATATAGGCCCACTTTCCGCTGTCGTTCACCACTGTATAATCCTGGCTGGCTCGTCAAATGTCAATATATGGTGGGCTAGAATTCTTCTTACAGTAGGTGTCTGACTTGTTATCGATAAATTCGAACAATAAATGAACAGCACACAATCCACTTGTTTTGAAATAATACATTAAAAAAAGTCAATCGCACGTACAAAAATTCTTTACACTACAAGATACAGTTGTATTTAAACCTTTAAATAATTTATTTTCTTGTCAAAAGTCAACACAGGCTGATTAAATCACTTTAGAATACAATTGACAAGACGAATTATTTTTCTCTACTCTATTTCTTACTATACAATTTGCGATAAATTCACTTATTTTACCCCGTGGTTTATCACAGCTATATCCAGAACTTTAAGTAATTGTCTCCTTTTTTGTCAAAGTCCACACAGGCTGGTTCAAATACTTTAGAACTCCCTTTGACAAGACAAATTATTTTCATTATCTCTATCAAACTGTGAATGTCACTTTAAATATCGCCCGTTATGGCTAAACTAATAAAAACGCAGTCTAACTTCACTTTTCACTAAATTAACTTTCTCTGACTTAAATTCACTTAACTGTTGGTTTCCACAGTTGTATCCAGAGTTTTAAGTAATTTTCTCATTTTTTTCGTCAAAAGTCCACACAGGCTGGTTTAGTTACTGTATGATCCAACTGACACGACAGATTATTTTTCCTGTCTCTGTTGTTACAATACAGCTGTGAAACACACTATAGAAATTACCAGGGGCCCGGGCGAATGAAACCTGGTTATGCCGTAAAGTTCGCCGAGTACCTTTAGGCTATATCTTCATTTAATCATAAAAAGCATAGTTTTTGTCTTTTCTTTACATAGACTTTTGATAAATTAAGAATGATTAAAATAATAATTTGAGTAATAATTAATATATATTTGTTACTTTATAAATTTAATAGATATTTCTTGTTAATTTACTAACGTTTTTACGTTTATGCTGTGAGCTAAAAACGGCTGCTGCTATGATTTTGCCTTGTTTATGCTTGTTTATTTTATTATTGTTTATTTTGCCTTATGAAAACATAAGTTAATTAGGTAAAGGAAAATCTAGAGGAAGTGAAAACAAATGCAAAATAAAGATGTGACAACTAGTGTTTTATATCAAAATAATTTTTATCTTGAAAAATTAGAGTATTCAGAAATTCTGAAATACAGTTAAACTAATTTTATTTTTCTACAAAACATGCATTTCCAATCCATAAAAGGTGTAAAAAATAATTACAGAGTACAATATTAAGAAAAAATTAATATTATTGAACAATGAATTAACTAAATACTTCACATTATTTTTGCCTTATTCATATTATGACAAATATATAAACAATTTTCTTTGCTTCTTAAAAGTATGAGCATAAAGAAACAGTTAAAAATTATTTCATACACATTATCTTTCAGATATAAAATAATAGTACTTAGTAAACTATTTTAATAATCTGTTTAACTAATTCGTACAAAATCACCATTAATGGTAAGCATAAAATTCTACAAGTTTGCCTTTGTTGTGTAATTTACAAACCTTCAGGATAAAGGGTTGTGAAATATAATTTTAATTTTTCTTTTTTAGTTTAGTTGTTACACATTTTCACAAGTTTACAAAATAGTGAAATTTGTTTTTCACATGCAAGCATGAATTTGTAATCATACTTGTAGATGATTAGAAACACTGGAGATATAGAGACTCTGTTGGTACTGATATAACATTCCACCAATTATATTTTCATAGCTCAAAGTTAGTTGTAATAGAATAAATATTTCAGAACTCTGGCCTTGGTTGTTAAAATCAGTATGATGATTTTAATACCTTGGTCTTAGTTTGGTGATATCTGTGATAATGGAGCTGATCTTCAGCAGACATGGCAGCAGCAGGTAATGTTGTGAAATAATGCTGTTAACAAAAATAGAAAAGAAGGTCATAAGCATTTACTAAAACAAAATTGCTGTTAAGAAAGCAAGATACTAAAAACCTAATTCTTAAAGCAACTACCTTTTGATACTATCACCAATATTACATTATGAAAAATTAAGTACTTCAGCTAACACTAACATATGCAAGATGTCTGAAGTCTGTGTTTTTGAATTTTATAGAGATACATAAAACCTTACCACTTTTATTGTCACTTGCTTGACAGCAAACTGACTCAGATTAATGGTTGTGTTAGTTACAATAAAATGTACATAATAACTTATCAAATTTCTTTACATGTATTTATAGTGGTTGTTTGTTTTCTGTTGTAATAAAATTTTCACATACAACTTGCTTACCCTAAAAACGATTTTGCAATGTTCTTAAGAACCAAGTTATAAGGTAGAATAACCATGCTTCTACCCACACCACTACAGACAAACGTCACTCAATATGTATACAAATATGGTGGCTAACCCATAAACGTTTGAAATAAAGTACATACGAAAACATACAAACTTTCATTAGGTAAGAAAACCTAAATCCCGACCAGCTAAGAACCATAGTTTCCTGCAATGTCAGCTCCCATTAGCAGTGTCCATCCACACTACATCTACCATTCCAGTGCCCAATACCAGGGCTCATCAGGCCAGCTGTGATATGAAAGACATAGCAGTGGTCTAGGTGATATTTATATCATTAGTTGCATGAACAACAGAATAGGTTAAATACTGAATTTCAACAATAAACATTTAATGTAATGGACATAGGATGCATACACTATGTGGTAATGGTAGTGCAGGACCTATTACAGCTATGAGTACAAGCATACTAAATTGACTGAATAACTAAGAATGTGTTCAAGCACCACTTCACTCTCCAGTATTTAATGTTTACCAATGTAATGGACAATGGCCTGAAGAGAACACATGAAACTGTAAAACAGCATCTATTAACATTTTCTACAAAGTTTGAAATGAACAATGTTTTTCTTAGCTTTGCAGCTGTACCTTTAGAGTTTTTCATCTACCACATAGAAACAAAACAGAAAGTTTGGTGGCATGTTTGTTTTTGTTTTAGGAAAAAGACAATTATCATAGTCCCAAATTTTAATTAATTATTATTAACCAAATAAAAAATACATATTAACTTCTCTGGACTGTTCCTAGGCCTACAAATTGTCATAAGAAAAAATACTACTGGATGTATCTAATAACCTAATAATAAACTAAATACATTTATAACTATCACTTTATTGATAACTTTATGCTCAAATAATTATTTCAAACACACAAAAAATTATAAACTTACCTTATAACTTTTGCCTCAGAGAAAGATGCCACAACAGCTGAACAGTTTCAACAGACATTAATAAGACACATTTTTTGAGACTGTTGAAGGGAAACAATCTCCCAAGCATAGGAAAAAGAGGAGTTATGTATTAAAATCAAGATAACTTTAATTTACTGGTTTCCATTTCATGTTATAATTTTTTTTAGACAAATGTCAAGAATGTGAAAATTAATTTTAATTTCTGAAGAATTAAAACTCAGAAATTTCATAAGATAGTGTGCCACCCTGAAAATTGATAAAAAAAAAATTAATCTCATATGAAGATTCATAGGATAAACAAATTATTTTGGTTTCCTTGTTTACAAAATAAACACATCTTGCTGTCAGGAAAAAAACAACTAAATATTGTTTGTGTCCGTTTTAGCTAAAGTACCTTAACAGTGTAACAGACAACTGTATATATGTTACTATGTATTTTAAATTGGATTCCTTGAGATTAAAATATGTTTCACGCTTATTGAAGAAGCTTAAAAAAATGCTGAAGATAAAGATTAATAAGAAAATCTCACCTGTAAGTAAAAAAATTTACTTAAGTCAATTTTTAAGTCTCACTAATTTAAAAGTATTAAACAATCTCAAAATAATAATTCCAAATAGGTTTAAAAATCACTTGGTTACATCAATTAAATTGTTAGAACATATTCTTGAGTTAAACTTTAATAAAAGTAACAGCACTTAAATGATAAAACAGCACCATAACTTTAATACAAAGTTTAGAGTAAACAGTAACTAAACACTAGAACAGTAATAAATATCTTATGGATACTTTAGATTCACTAAAAGCCTTCTTCTTATAACTTGATAAGTTATAACTGAAATGAAATTAACATTTTGGTGAAGAAAAGATTATGTAGCCTAATCTAGTCTTTGATTCACTACTCCAGCTGCAACAAACAAATTTCACTAAATTTACAGGTCATCAGCACTGCTTGAAAGAGTGAAGCAAATAAATAAAGCAGGCCCCATATAGTGGTATAAACAAACCAACTAAATAAGTTGTTGAAAAATTCACCAAAGTGATAGTAAAGTACAAAATACCTATTTTTTTCATTCGGTTGACATACAATATTGTAGGCAAGTGCCCTTCCTCAGGTAAAAGTTGCTAGCCAGTATATACGGAATAAAGATAAAATGATTGTGTTCAATTTTTAGACCAATACATATAATGCAGGCCTATGTGAGAACAATTCATGTAACAAGAGCCTGTGTACCAACAATCTACACATTACATAAATAAAAATTGGCAAACAAGTTGAAGGTAGGATAAAAACAAACTATACACTTATGTACATGCCTACACATAAATAATATACATAATGTATATTGCAAAATAATAAACATCAAAATTTAAAACATTGTGCAATGATAAAATTGTAAAATTCTATCTTGTTGCAGGCATTTATGTGTATATGCACAGATAAACACAACATATATATATATATATTAAAAAAATCATTTTACCTAAAGAATTAGAGATTTATTTACTGCAGAAAAAGTATGCTGTTAAAATAAAACTTGTATCTAGTGTAAAGGAGGTAATGATCACAGGAATGTAAAATGCTCATTGATGATGCTTGGCTTAACTGGTCCAAGTTCAAATAGTTTTTGGGGGGTAAAGATCTCATTTTTGTTTAGTTTCTTGGGGCATTAGTTAAGACTACAATTTTGAAATGATCATGGGAGTTGAAATGGTAAGTCACTGGTTATCTGAGTGAACAATGACTATATCTCTATGTTTGTGAGAACATTCAGTCTTTTCCTACAAAAAGTTGTCCACAATTTATGTAAATCATACAATACACTACACATTTGGATGTGTCAGGTGATTGCTTGAGTATACAATTGCAGAAAAAAGGTCATATTATGTAACTGTTTCGAAAGGGTCCTTGTTCTTTAAAGTTGAAATACAACATTGTAGGATGGACACTGTTTGAAAAACTCAAGTATTGATGATTGCTTTATGTCATGATTTTTCACCAGTTGTAATGAATGCTATCTAATTAATTTAGTTTGTTGAAACTATTCAGTTGTTATGGTATCTTTCATTGAGGAAAACACTGTAAGGAAAGTTAATACCTTGATAAGATTATGTCAAAAAAATTCAGGTATAAAATTTTCATAGTTATAATAAAAATTTGTGTACATCTGGTTATCAAAGTAACTAGCATCAAAACTTGAAGCATTATGTTCAACTAGCAGCTAGAACTGAGTTTGAAATTATTCTCAATTTCAACAGAAAACTTAATGCTAGGATGTTTGTTTCTTTAGGTATGTTAACAAGAGAAAATCCTCAATAGCTGTGGCACTTGAAATTCTTTAAGGCAGGATTAGAGTAAATTAATCTATGAGAACTTTTTATTAGCTATATTTTTGTGATCTGGCAATACCAAGTGTGGGGCATATGTATACCCAAATCGATTTTATTACTCATCAGGATCTCTACAAACCTACCCTCAAACTGAAATTCTTTTAGGCAGGATTAGAGGTTAACATTTTTCTAAATTTAAAATGTATTTCCATGCCCATCTAAACATTTTTCTCACTTGTTCCAGTCTTTTATACCCCACTCAATTGCCCTTGGCAATATTTGTCTCATTATACTCTCCACCTATGTCAATGTGCTCTCTATCCCGGTACTGTATTTAAGCACCTCATTCAGATGCTTTTATCACTTTGAGACTGATACTATCCCAGTATCTAACATTAGCTCTTAGTGGGGAGGAAGGGAGGGAAAGTATTAGTGGAAATAGATTTTCAATTTAGGAAAATGTTAACTTCCAAAACATATTTACCTCTGCTTACACTTATATCTAGAATCCCACATTGAGAAGGTAGAGGGGCTGGCACGGGCATTATCCATACAGAAAGCATATGCACAGATCATAGGTGTACCAAAATAGTGGTACCTGAGTGTAGGAACTGTACTATAGCCAGAACAGGCATGCTCTTCACCCTGAACTCGTATGAAAGGTGGAATCGTAAACGAGTGAAAATGACAGTTATCTGTTCAGAACACAACGTTATACAATACACCATTTGATAGATGAAAACCTTGACTTTCTATTCGTTATAGGTAATATATAATGAAACATAAGAGAGAACTATCAACAAATTGTGAAAGAGAGGATGTGACATGAGGGGTCTGATTTTCTATTTGATACCTCTGTAACCAAACAAAATTGAAAACTATAAAAATTATGGTCTGTTTGAGCAATAATGATTTTATAGAGAGTATTTTACGTTTAATTTCGAACATTTTCAAGTGGTGATGGATAAAATAGGGATGATGACATGCTAAGACAAAATGTGTCACGTGCATCACAATACAGTTCACACAGCAAAGGTCCAGCTCACACTTGTAGGCATCATGGTCTTGGACACCACAATGAGCACACGTTAAAGAACCACAACAGGATGCCTTTGAATGTCCAAACCACTGACACTGGAAGCATATGAGAGGGTTGGGAATATATGGCCATACCCGACAGTTGAAATACTCTGCCTTGACTGAAGCAGATGGATGTGGAGATGTAAACATCAGTATAAGAACATTGGTCGGCACCATATTTCCATCTTGATGAGTGGAGATCCTTCGAACTGCTGAAACCAGCGAAGATCTCTGATTTGGGGATGTTCTTCAAGTCCCTCTCAACAATGACTCCTCATGAGGAATTCAATGAAGCATGGGGAGTAACCTCAATGGGTATATCCCCAATGGCCTTGGAAGTCTGGAGAAGTTCACTGTATTTAGCTGTGGATATTTCCACCAAGATTTCTCCAGAACGGAACTTCTTAACTGACTTTGGAGAGCCAGCAAGCCCTTCTAATCCCTTCTGTATACAAAAGGGAGACATTTGCCCTAAAGATTTAACAAACAGTGAATGCAAGATCAGGAAACGAGGTACAGGTACACAATATGGTGGAGCCTGTTGTTTGGAGTCTTCAAGGCATAGTCGTTTACCAATGAACAGAGTTCTTTAAATTTTTTTTTTAGGATTTGGGAGATCCATTAGAAAAGAAGGAAGATTCGGTGCCCATCATGGAGTCCTACAAGGGGAAGCACTACAATGTCAAACTAGGACACTGCAGCAATGCCAGGGTTTTGCGACCACTATAAAATGTCCAAAACACCAGCTGAGAATGCCCAACACTGGTACTCAGCTGACCCTAGCCCAACAAGACCAGCCGACTGACTCTGAGGGGGCCACCCCAAGGCCGCCCATCTACAGGCATTCAAGGCCAAGGTTGTGTGTTGCAGTGCCCCATACACCACTCAACCACCAGGATTCTCTCCTCCCCTTCACGGGTCACCACACACGGCAAACACATGGGTGGATGTTTAGATGCCAGAGGAGGTAGCTGAAAATACAGAACCTTCCCCGGGAGGTCCCCTCATCACATACAGGAATCCACCTTGAGGGGGTCCTCAGTGTGGAATGGGGGTGAAATGCAACCTACTCTGGCCACATTTTGCTTCCAGTTATATATTAACTGCAGATTAAGCTTTAATTACCAATGAAGCTAAGCATTCCTGTTTCCATCTGTGGTAAGCAGTTTTCAGAGTAGCTGTCAGTTACTACAATACAGATTTTGGAATATCCTTTGGAAAATATGAATACAGCTAATCAAACCCTAACCACAGTTGAAGGAATTGGAATTAATCAATTACAATCCATTTTGATGTTTATTGCACTTCACAAGCTTAACTACTTTTCCCTTTGACTGCCACAACAAATGCATTAATTTCCAAATCCCACTGATGGCAGATGTCTTTCAACAGCCAGTCAAAGAAATGGGCTTTGATCATAATGCTTTAGTTAGATGGATGTCCTCTCTATCCTGTTTAGAAAGTTGGAGAGATTCTTGCTTAACCAATAATCTTTCAGATTAATCTTGATATGACTTCCTCTCTGCATTTATTGTGCTTAAGCAGAACCTAACCAGTGTTTAAAATTTCATGTTTTTTGTAATTCTAATTACTCTGTTTATTTTTACAGTTACTAAGATTTGTCAATTAACAACTTACAATATCATAACAGTACTTACATAATGACATCTACTTAAAGACAAAAAACAGACAATCAGCTTTGTCTCTAACTAGCTTAAGAGCTTAAAGAAAAACTGAAAATCAGTCAATGTCAAGAATAATTTTGTGTAAAATTGAATAAAAGCGGTTACATTGTGATGGCTTAAATTTTTACCTCCATATTCATAACTAGTACCTTTTATTTGCTCATGTATTTCTTCTGATATGCACTAACCTGACACTGGGTACAACTGTGGTCCATATATTGCAAAATAGACGAGAATGCTTTATTCAGTGCTTCATCTTTCGAAGATTTGTTTGCCAATGATGAGGCCTACAAAAGAATAATATAAATGCTTAATGAAATATTGTTTCATAAATTTTGTAACAAAATTAAACACTGGATAGTTTATTGGATAGTTAACTCTCTAAACTCTCCCAAGAACTTAAGAGGCTTACTAAGAACTAGTCACCCCCCAGTGGCACAGCGGTATGTCTACAGACTTACAATGTTAGAAATCAGGTTTTGATACTCATGATGGGCAGAGCACAGATAGCACATTGTGCTTAACTTCAAACAAACAAGAACTAGTTAAGTTTAATGATTGAAACTTTAAGAGTATTTGAAGAAAGAACTTAAGGCTTTACTTACCAAACTAAGGAATTCAGCTTGAGAGAGCTTAGCATTATATATAAAATTATATAATGCTCTCATTGTAAAGCATGTATGCTACCCCACATGACAGTCCCATCAACACATAAGAGGTTATATCCTCAAAATATCATCTGACCTGCCAGTGGAAAAGGAAGCTGTTTACATTTCAATATATTGTTGCGTCATCGAGTCACATGACTACTGTGACACAACATTTCTATAACTATCATGTACTTTGGCAAATGTTCTAGTTGTTACTAGATATAGGGTAGGCTGGTATATAAAAGGGAGGTAATGTAATGTGTGTGTAGACAGTGAGTAATTGAACTGCAGTCAGAAGTATTATTGACGTTTGTCG